GGAAATAATCCCAAGGTTTGGGATGCCCCTCAAGATATCATCAGATAGGGGCCCACATTTTGGAAAAGTGATACAACCCCTCTCTCACCTGGGTATGTTTGTTTAGAACCCTGGTTTTAAACAGTCTGCTGGGGGTTTGCGGTTGCAAAGTAAAACAAGATTTTTAAACTGATTTCAACTGTACCCCTGTTGCAGAAAGCACCATATTTAGGATTTTAGGATAGTGCTTAGAAATCCCCTTACTTTTCCCATCTTGATTTAAATATCAAGAATTCTAATTAGTGAATACTAATAGGAGAAACTAATGATTATATTGGGAAAATAAGTCTCAAATGGAATAAATAATCAAATATAAAATAAAATCTGTATTGCCAATGCTGCTAACATACTCCTGTAAAATTCCAGACCTAAGGTATTCATTAACCAATAATCTGTTAGTGGTTAGAAACAAGGACAGTATGTTGTAGTCTAAGATGTCTGCAAGACAGGATTTATTATGGTACCTGTTGTGTATAATCTTTGAATCATGACTGAAGTAGGTACAAGCTGAGAGCCTACGAGCCAAGGACATGTTCCTTGACCAAAGATGGTCAGTTCGAGGTGTGGTAGAGACCTCTGACTCATGGACCACCCACCCAAATTATACCACCTACTCAAAAGAGAACAATAGAAGACTACGACTGAGGCTGCGCACTAATTTATGTCAGAAGAACCAATCATCGAGAGGATGAAACTGAATATGCATTGTATAGACTAAATATGCATGATCTTAATATATAAGTATTTGTTGATTTCAGTGTGCAGGCGGACATCTTTGGGAAGGATCCCATGTCCCCAGTGCGCATGGTGCGCATCGTTAATAAAGGATGTCTCTACTTGTCTAACTCTGTGTAGATAAGGTTTTTTTTTCTCACCCACTGCAGATTTGCAACACCCCTAGGTTGTAAGCAAGTGCATAGCAGACTTAGTGTAACTGGTAACATGGGGCAGTGGAGAATTTGCAACCTTTGTTTCCTAAGGGAGGGCAATTCAACTTTCAAAAGCTTAAGGGACCACAGCAGAATAACAGCCAGCTTCTGCCTAGCCCCTGTCTGTCTTTGGGCTTCCTCCCTCTTTGGCCTGACACTGCGTTCACCTTGGCACAAGGTCGCTCTTTGGTGGGGTCACAGAACATGGTTGAAGGGTTGGCACATGCTGAAGTGCTTTGAGTTGGGCCTTGTGCAGGATGCAGTGTCCCTGGAGAAGGGGCTCAGCACACAATGTGCATGTGCGTGAATGGTGAGAGGCAGCTTTCTCTCCCAAGGTCACGGTTGTTTCTGTGAGGCCAAATCCTTGTTGCTTTAGCCTTGCCTTCACGTACCTGGAGGAGTCCCTTTCCCTGTGCATTGCTGTGCAGGCAGTCCCAGTGCCCCTCACTGGCAACAAAGCTGGGAAGGCTGCTTGTGCTTGCTTTTGGGGGGGATTTATTCCTTGAGCTGTTATTTACATTGCTGTTGATCCACTCACTCCTTAGCAATGACAATGACTTTAATTATTTCCTTTTACTTTCCTCAAATACCTCCAATTGTTGAAGTTTTTTCTTGATCCCCCTGCTGATCTGAACTGCTTGCATCCTGCTCTGTCTACCTAGCATCTGGAAGGGAGAGATAAGTAGATATGTGATGCCAAGACTTAATAAGGCACTCGGCTTTCAATTGGATTTACAATGCCTTTGTTACAGTAGTGTGTCCAAATTAAAAAAAAAAAAAGTAAATAGCATTCTTCATTTGCTAATGCAGTCTCTGAAGATCTAAAAAGTCTCGGACATGAAGTACCCAGATAATAGGTGCTTTAAATTCACGTGGGCTGCCCATAGCTTTCATTTTAGAGTGCTTAGGCTGCAAGATTGAGTACAAAATAGCAAGTCTTTCTGAATTCACAGAAGATGAAACTCTCTCCTGAAATGTGATATTCAATTCTGTAGGTCGTTTGCTGCAGTTCCCTTGCTGGTATTTTACCTTCCAAATATGAGAAGCAAAGGGCCTTCTGTAATTTCCAGTGTGAATATTGGGGATGTCTAGAAAAAAAGATCCTTTTTTATTCTTTTTGCATCTTGGATGTGACAGAAATATTAAACTCCAGCTGAGCAGGTGGCTGGTAGGCTCTGGGTGTCAGCTGTTGTGTTAAAGCAATAGCTATGTGTCTGTGCCTTACCTGCCTGCTTTGGGTCCCCTCCAGGCTTGGAGAGCACGGGTATGGGAGCAGAGAATCCTGAGCACAAAGGAATCTGAATCTGTTCTGGTTAAGGGAGTTTACTGCTGCGTGCAATTCCTAAATCAAATTGTCTGTGTCCTGCTTCAACAGTTATAAAAATATCAAAAGAGTTAAAAGCACTAAGGGAAAAAAAAAATGAGGACAGCAAGTGAGTGATAAGAGGCAGAGCTTTTATCAACTCATCAATAAAAGAGCTGCTGGAGGTAATGGCTCCTGGCCCTACTGTAACTGTTTTACCAGGGGGCAAGGTGATACTTGTAGCACAGCGGTGCCACACCACACATCTGGAGATTGATCTGCTCATCCCTACAGTAAAATGATTTTGGTGATTTGATTTGCCTTCCTACTGCTAAATGCCAGACAGCTGGGGGGAGACTGTCTGGCTCTCTTCTGAACAAGCCAATGACTGGGAATAGCACAGTTGAGTTTGCTCTCCTAGGCATGTCTGAGTGTCTCCCACTTGCAGGTCCTGATACCCTGCCCCGGGTAGGCAGGCTAACAAGGCACCAAGTCACTTTATCTAGAGCCCTTACAAGAGGAACTTGATTAAGGCATCAGCCATGCAGCAGAGAGGAAGCAAAGCTATTTCCTACATCCCCTGAGGCTAGGATGAGATGTAAAGGGAAATTGAGATTAGATACAGGAAGAATTTACTTTAAGTCTAGGGTAGAGCTGGAATAGGCTGCTGAGGGCAGAGGTGGAGTTGTTAGTGCTTTTAAATACTTGTCAAGCATCTCAGTAGTTTGGGTATGGAGGGGAGCCAGTTCTGGGATGGGGAGAGGGATCAGATAGCTTTTTAAGGGTGTATGTCCCCAGCCTTGTCCCTGTAATGCTCTGGGAAAGGGTGGGAAATACACATGTACCATACACTCACCTGAGATTAGAACAATTATCGTGTCCAGTTTGTTAAGTATTTCACCAAAGACTGACTGTGGCCAAGTCCTTTGAAATTGTACATGAGCGTCCCCTGTCAAACTTCAATGAGGTCGCTGTGTTGCTGAGATTGGAGTTAGTGCTGTGGCACAACTGGGTTCTCAGTGATGCCTTTAATAGTCTGCAGTGGTAATCGAAGCAGGTTCTGTTACTGCTGCAATCCCTTACATGGAATTACCCTATTTTGTTGCCTTAGAATCAAAGTATCAGATAATTTTATCTGGTGCTGCTAGCTTGCTGCAAAAGCAGGCAAATCAATGAGCTTGTTTCTTTGCAAGTTAACAGCCCCATCTAAGTCATGCTACTGGAATGAAAGGTCATTAAGGTAAAAAGTACCATTACACTACTGAATGCTGTGTTGCAGTCATAGGAAACAGCAGTTTGTCTTCTGCTGTGGGGATGGTACTAAATGCACTGTGCTGAGACTGTTTCCTTCCCTGCAGGATTATTTCCACCAGCTTATCTGCGTCACAGAAAGGGAAAAGTTTATTGTGCCTATCCGAGCTATAGGTGCCCGAGCTATGCTGGACTTCCCTGACCAGCTGAACTTCTCTGTCTGTCCAGTCAAGTACAGCACCCAGAAAACTCTACTGGTTCGCAACATCGGTAATCGGGAGGCCCGCTACTGCATCAGCACTGAGAGGTAAGGGAGCTCATCTTTTTTTGTGCAAAATGCTGTTGTGTGGTAATATAGTTGGTAAACAGTAACAAAAAGGAACTAGAGTATCTGAGCTGCTGTAGTGCAGCCATAGCTGGAAATGGGCAAGACATGGGGGTTTTGCTGTTGCTTAGAGTGTTTTAAGCATGGTGCAACCTTTGATAAAACTCCTCAAGCTGCAGTGAAGTTTTATACTGTGGTGGTGTATAAACATAGCATCTTGCAAGACTGCTTCTGTTAAATCAAAAGAGCAAACATAGGAAGGTAACTTGACTGCCCTTGGGCTGTATAAGATACTGCATGGCAGGGAACAGCTCTAGGAGCTCAGTTCAGGTAGACCAAATGCAGTGTTAAGAAATGGGTGAGCTATGAGCTGGTGAAAGAGACAGTTAAGAGTTTGTCAGCAGCTGTGGCTGTACTAGCAAGTGCAGTCAGAGATTGCAGATCAAAGCAATGGCATTGAGGCCCTGACAGTAACATTGTGTGGTCCAGGAGCTTTGTTTTCCAGTAGGTTTGGTCTGGTCCCTAGAACCAAATATCCTTAAGTAGGATGATCTCTTAAGTGGAGGTGTGCAGGCATTGGCTTCAGAACTGCACTACAGCCCCAAAGCAGAATGCTAATGAGGGCACAGGCAGTAGATGCAAATATCTGGTGCATGGGTTGGGGGCCTTTTCTTCTAGAGCTTTATCTTTCCCTGGTTTTCTAGAGAGAGCTAGAATAGTTAGTAGCTAGCTTGCAACCTCCTGATACTAAGTGACTTCTGAAATGGTTACATACCCCTGTCAGCCAAATACACCCATTCTGTGGGAGGCCACAAGTATGTGGTGTTCTGGTGGTCCCTTAGTCAAATGCCTGATGTGAACTGTGTTGTGGACAGCCTGTACTGCTCCTTTTGGTTTCAAGACAGTCAACAGTTTTCCAGTGTGCTGAATTGCAGAGGGTGAGGCCTTTTTGACACCACATCTGCAAGGAAACCAGTTCAGTTTGCTCGTAATTAGTTGAGTTGCTTGGTCCTAGAGGTCTCGGTGTAGGAGCTGAGGTCAAGAATGCAGCAAAGACCTGCTGTCTGACTTGGTGCACCTGAATTGCTTTGGTTTCTTCCCCAGCAAAACAGGGCTCAAAAGAAGACTTTTTACTTTTCTCCTGTGAAGTGTGAGCGTCCAACAGGAACTTCCACCAAAGCCTGGCAAGGCTATTCAAGCAGGCTTCTAGGATGCTATTTAAGCAGGCTGCTGCTTTTCACTGTGGAAATATGTAGGCAGGAACTTGTAAATCACTGAACAGTTTTCTTCTGGGATTTCCAGATCTAGTTGTCACACCAAAATAAATACCCAGTAAAGTCTAGCATCTTTTTGCAATATACTGGCCAACTACTATTGAGTGATACAGTATATGTTGAATCCTGCTTGATACAGATTTTAAGAGTTTCTGAACTTTAGCAATTAAATATTTCAGTCCCGATTTACAATGGAGAAATGGGAAGCATTACAAAAGTTTTACTTCAGACTACACCAAAAACCAGAATTCTGAATAACTGGATTGCATGTGTACAGAGATCAAAAGCTGATATGATTTCCCTTGTCAGCTGAAGGCATTTGTCATCTCTTCCATTTCATTATGAACTTTTGAAAGCCAGTTTGAAATTTCAAACAGATGATTTAAATCTTTGAATATAAGCAGCATTTTATTCTAAGTCGCTCCCACTTTCATTCAGATTTCTTTTTAAATACTCTGAAGTTCCCGTGTTTCTGCTTGCTTTTTTTTTTTTTTTTTTTTTTTTTTTTTCCAAAATGTCATAATGAATTCTTCACTGGGAACTTTCTTAAAGGTTGGGTTCCTCTAAAGGAGGTTTATCTACCATCTGCCTATATGTATATGCACAGATGTATAGGAAATATGAGAAATTTGGGGAATATGTGAAATGGAATTGGGCTGATTTAGAAGATAAAATCTTAAAACAACTTAGGTGGAAGGGACCTCTGGAGATCATCTGAGCAAACACACTGCTCAAAGCAAGACCAGTGTCAAAGTTTGATCAGGTTTGCAAGTAACACAGTAAGTAAGATCATCCTTCATTTTTCTTTCTCAGAGCTGTACAAAGCCATTTATCTCAGCATCTCCCTGTATGTCCTGTGCTCCAGCCCGTAAGGTCCATGCTTCTAGTGCCCAACCTGTACTGCCAGGGGTTATTCCGTCCCAAACACAGGATTTTGCATTTTCCATCCCTGAGCTAGGTGTGGCTCACATCAGCCTATTTCTCCAGCCTGTTTTGGTCCCTCTGAATAGCAGCCCAGCCCGCCAGTGTGTCGACTATTCCCCCGGGTTTGGTATCCTCCACCAAATTTTGAGTGTTCACTGCTGTTGACCAGATCAAGATGTCCTACTGCAGCCCAAGACCAGAACAACAATGTTCTCCCTGTGTGATGAGGCCGTGGTGTACCAGGAGTGGTTATTCCAGTCGGTGCTGGGGACCACATCGTGTGACATATCATCACTGTGTTGCACCAACTCTTTTCTTACTGTCTGAGTGCCTCTGGACCCTCTACTATATCTGCAGACTTTCACATTAATAACTGAGTTTCTTGATACCAGGGATCAATGATTGGTTCCTTGCTGCTTGTGCTGTGAGAGGTTGCTCAGCTGCCTACCACTGAGCTCCCAGGTGAGCCCTGTGGCTCTGGCAACCCCAGCACAAAAGAAATGCCTGCCAGCTGGTGTGACAAGGTGGCTTGAGAACCAGACCAATACACTGCTCCACAGGCCCAGAAGATCTTTAGCTGGCAATTGTGTTGGTACAAGTATGTTTATAGAGGCTTTCACAAGAGGCCATTCTCCTGCTAATGTTAGGGGATTAGTTTCCATGTTACAGAGGCTATAACCAAAGCTGCATCGTTACTAACAGAGGGAGTGAAGCTTTAGTTTAATGTCACTGATTCTTTTTAATTACTTCCATAGTAACTTGATGATTAATTATTATCACAGAACACTTAAAACTGCTTTGGAAGTGAATGAGTTATGTTCCCTGTCCTGCAGAGCTTACAGTGTAAGTATGAGGTGCAATAATCAAAAGTTACGGCATAAGTGTTCGGGGAAAGGAGTGTCAACCTTACTGATTCAAATTCAAGACTGGTTTAGTCTTATTTAGTGGAGAATTTCAGCAGCTGAAGTTGAACATATGTCTAACTTTTGCTGAGTAAGGATGTGGTGTTCTGCTAAAGCCAGTCTTAATGTCACATAATAGCTTTGATGTGTGTTGATATGTACAAGTGCACATGCATATAGGAGGAGGAGGATGATTGGTGGTGTAGAAGGGCCTGAGTGATCTGTCTAAGCCTGTAGACCCATCAGCTGACCTCTGTATCCTTTATTCTCTATCTATACAATTTAAACTTCTCTTTTGGTTGATGCAACTTCTGTTTTCTGGCCTGAGCAGATTCAGGCTCTTGCCCATTTGCAAGCCAGCTGCAGATGCCACCATTTCCTAGTCCATTGTACTGCTCGTGTCGCTTTTCTTTGCCTCCTTTCTCTGGATTCTCTTCTCTATGGCATCCAGTGTAACCTATCTGCTTTCGCCTTCAGTGCGTTTTTCAGCCCATCTTGAATCCTAACCCTTCCTCTCAGTCAGTACCGAGAGCTCAGCTCTTATATTTCGTCGCCTCAGGATGATGTTCCCTGCCTGTTACTCATTTATCTAAGGACTTTGATGTTTTCTGTTGCGCATTGCTCTCTAGAGGAGAGCTCTTAAGCGAATCCATGGAGCCAATTTGCATCCTTCTGCCGTTCCCTGTTCAGAGCTGTCCCTTGCCATGGTATCTACCAGAAAACATCGCGACATTTTGGACCACTTTTTCATAAAGGAAAAAACCATCAAAGCACTCCCCATTACACAGTCTGGCTTTGTGCCTGTCCTCCCTCTGCATGTCCATACCCAGCTCTTAACTGCATGGCAGTTATTAAAAAAAATAATAATAGTATAAATATAAAGTCTCTTCCTGTTGTTCTCACTGTTAAGGCAGGGTAATGAATTTCTTCTCCATGACATTCATGGAGATAAGTGTCATTCCAGTACATTTGAGTTGAAAATGGTGTCTGGAAGCAGATCTAAGTGCAGCACTGCCTACAGACATTGTGCTGTGCCATACTATGGGGCTAGAGAGCATCAGCCTGAGATAAGATACATTTAGGAATGTCCCCACCAAGTTCTGAAAGCTCAGGAAATTATCCTACAAGGCACAGTGCTTGGAGCCCACTTGCATTCTTCCCTGTAGTACTCATCTACTATGTGGAGGTGTGGAATCTGAGTTACCATAGGACATACGAAGAACATCCAACGATATGAAAATAGAGCCTAGGTGCAGTGAAAGAAGGAAAGACAGAGCTTGTGAGATGCTGACTCTACACAGGATTTTTTTTCAGCACAGAGATGGAGTCTCGGATGCTTTGACCCAGCAGATTGCTTGACTTTGGCACTTACTTCGTTGCTAAAAAGTAATATATGCTAAGATTAAATGATCTTTTTTTTTCTGCCAAAGGTCCTAGTGGACAGATGAGACATTTCAATCACCAGTAACTTTACTGTCTTCCTTGGGGTTAGAGGTAGCTTTTAATGAAATTGATTCTCCCAAACTCAAATGATTTTATAATGTAAATTAAAGCACCAGACCAAAGAAAGTTTGGTTGTAGAAGATAATTCTACCATGGGACTTGAAGTATATTGCAGCCTCCTTGCACACTGCATTTACCAAATGTATGGTTGCAGGAGAAAAGGTGGTGTAGTGGTTTGAGAGCCTGAGTCACAGAATTGCCAGCTTTGATCCCTCATCAGCTGCATTTCTAAATTGTCAGGTGTATTTGGCCCTTGGTCTCCTCATGGGACATAACTTTTGCTCAACTCTGTCAAGATGGGAAGATGAAAGTAAGCAAGATGTAAATGCCAAAATATAAAATTATGAAATTGCTTACAAATCTAGTGTTGCTCCCTTTCTGAAGGACAATAATAGGCAAGATCTCAGCAGGTACCGGTGGGAAGGTCTCTCCTAGATTGATGCGGCTAGATGAGTTTATACAAGCTGGGGATTGCAAGGTGATCTGGGACATCTGGACCTGTGAAAATTTAGATGTCGTACAACAAAGCAAACACAAATGGACATAGCTAAAAAGCATGTTGGAAGAAAACAAGCTATTAAAAAAACTTCCAAACCTTATATTTTCTGTCTTTCAGGAGGAGTAGTGATTCATTAAAAGGGTAGATCTAATAGGATGAGAATTATCTTAAACAGCAGCTCACAATTAATGGATAAAAGGCCGAAGTTTAGCCTGCCAGCTTCATCTCTTGGCAGTGGCTTTATTTGGGTATTACAATGTGTCAGGGATGTCTCCTTAGCATCTCTTCTTATCTGTAGGCTGCAGGGAACAGCTTAGTGATGTTGACTGAAATTGAGGCAAGTTAAGTTTAACCATGGGGCTTGCATCTCTGGGTCTTGGAGGACCAGGTGGCTGTGAGGGGTAATGAGCTCTTGCTACAGCAATAACAGAGTTGTCTTGTGGGTATAGCATGGGGTGGGGTGTAGGAGATGCAGTGTCTAATTTGTACTTGGTTTCTCAGTCCTGAGAACAGAGTCTTGAACTTGGTTGAGTCTTCCTTTTCTGATATTTGAAAATAGGAAGATATCTTCTTTCTCAGGCATCCCCTGGTCACCCCCAGGTGTGTTATTCCCATCCCAGCCATCTGAGGGCAGGAGTATGTAGACATGGGGAAGGAGTTGGAAGGTGATGGGATGGGAGGTAGTGCTGAAGTGTTGCCAGGGATTCCCCTTAACTAGCAGCTTTTCTGTTCTGGCATTATTTCTGGCAAAAGAAGGGGGCGGGGGGAATTCTGTGCTTTTCCCACAGCAGGCAATGATCCCACTCAAGCACTAGCAGAGACCTGCAGCAGTCCTGGTGTAGCCATCAGTGCAGATGCAGGGCCACACAGAACAATCCAGTTCTGAGGCTGGTGGTGCTTTTTGTTTCCTCCTCTCCAAAGTTTCAGGTCCAGCAAGTAAGCGTTGCAGGCCTGCTGCTTTTCCATTAGTCAGTGGCAGTGTTCTCACTAGCTGTAATGGGAACAGGTCAGGCCCCTAATTGCAGCAATATCTCCTTAATGAGCAGAAACTCCAGCAATTTCATCAGCTGTCACTACTTACATGAACAAAGTTCAGCTTGTGCATAGTTCCAGTTGTTCTCATTATTTTTGTGTGTGTTGCATTCTCTAATCATGCTAAAACTCTCCACAAAATGGTTTTAAGGTGGCAAATTGACCACCAGCAAGGCACTGAAAAGGATAACTTTTGTTTTCTAAGTGGGACTGTACAAGAGCCATGAAGCCCAGCTGCCATCATACAGAAGAATGTTTCATCTGACTTATCCCTAAGCATTAAAGCACAGAGTCTATCTCTGTCTGTCAGCCAAGGGCTGTTTACCTGGCAACACATCATAATTGCTTATATTAAATCCAAAGTACACCAACACATTTTCATAATTGTTTCCAACACATTGTACAGAATTTGTTGGGTGGGCCGAGCAAACAGTTACCGAGCTTGGATTACAACCTCGAGTCCCAGATTGCATTGCTTGTGATTACACAGAAAACCTCCTGTTAAACTCGCCTTGATATGCTCCTGTTAATGGTGCTTCATTTAGCTAGGGATTTAATCGTTCAGGCTGTAAATGGAATACTCCTTTTGTATCTTGTTTCTGTGTCATTGTGTCGCTCTAATCTGCATTTGCATTTATTCAGATTTTTCTGATTGTTCCTTTTCTTAGAGCAGCTTTCATTGAAACAAAATAATTTCTGATTATTTCTGATATAACCTGCTGTTTCTTAGGCTAAACCAGGATGTTTTCAAGGTAAAAAAATGAACTCTGCCAATTAAACTGTAATTATTCTCTAGTCTTCAAGAGAGACTTTTATTCTCCCTGTCTGATTTCTAGGCTGTAATCTCATTGGGACAAGTATTGCCTTGACATTTGCATCTGTTGAGGTGAGGTTTATAGGTGGCAGGAAAAGACAGATTCCTGAGGAAGTCATTGTCAAGTTGTGCATGCAAATAGCTCTCACAATCCATGGGCTCTTCAGAAACCATTCTGTCTGTATTGCTAGCAGTCAGACTCTTGAGCCTCAATGCAGAGCACGGGGGAGATGAGGTCACTTTATACCATAGGATCTTCTGAGGGCTGGATCTCTTCAGAAGTGGGAGTCAGTAGCTCTGTTTCTGATCCTATATGTTCTGTTTGTCTTCCACTGAGTGTGGTTTCTTTGCTTCTTGCTTGCCCAAGTGACCTGAACTAGACTGCAAAAGGAATGTAGTCTCCAAATCTCCCACAATAGTCCTGATGTGTCTCTTTCTGTGTTGCAGCCCTTTCTCTATTGATCGCTCCATTGGGACTCTCGGGATTGGTGATGCCATGCAAGTAACAGTGGAGTTTCACCCACTGAAGACTGGGGATCATTCCAGATCCCTGATAGTTCACTATGACACAGGTAAGTGCTGGGCACACTCCCTGCATCCTTCAAAAAGGAGCTGTTTCTAAGCGTAGTAATGTTAAACATGCTTTGCAAACTACTTATAAGACCTTTTCTTTCAAAACTTCTGCTTGTTTTGGTGCTTAGAAGGGAGCAGATAAGGGGCGAAGGCCAAGTCTGTCCTTATTCTGTATGTCCTGTGTCACTGTGTTCTTGGTCAGTCCCTGGGGGACCCTGGTGTCAGCATGGTGTCCTCCACCCAGCACCCCTCCATAACAATCATCTACCATCATTCCCCATTTTCCCAGCCACCTTAATTCCCTCTCCAGTTGATACCTGCCCTGTCCCAGCTTTATGTGAAAGAAAAGTGAGAAATGGTCGCTGTTTAGGGGGTTGTTAAAAGTGCATCCCCTCAAATGGGAATGAGATTTTTAGGAATCCTGTTTTGCTGGGAATTGCTGAGTAACCTTGGGTCTCCATTATGGTGTGCATACGCGTGTGTTAAGTTTTATTGTTAGACAATGCTGTGTTTGAAGTGTAACATTGGGAATGCATGTTTCTATCAGACTGTCTCCAGTGCCCACTGTCTCTCTCACACTCTGTCCCCTATACTGCCTCTCTGTTGTCTTGTCACAGTCCCTTTTTCTGTGTTGCCCTCTACCCATCTACATCCCACACTTCACAACATCAGGACTAATGTAGCCAGGACTTGAGGGCTCTTGGGATTTGGCAGGAAGTGCTTGCTGCCTCCTGAGATAGGTACAAAATTTATACTAGGGCACAAGAAGCCCAGATCAGGCCACAGGAATACTGTCAGCTTTATAAGTCACTTTAAGAGTAAGTGGAGAGAACTCAAGAAAAAGGTGGAATGTTAAAGTGATTCTGTCAGTCTTGGTTTTTTTTTTCAGCAGAGGTATCTTGTGATGCTGAATGAGATGCTTTCTCAGTTGGCTGAATGCATTTGGTGTGCATTTTCTCTTGTCTGAGAGAGGTTTGGTTTGTCCCTATTCCTGAACTTTGGTCCTGGGAAGAATGATGTCCTAACCTAGGTGATACTGTGATGCTTTAGCCTAGCAATGAGCATTTTAGTTGTCCTGAGTATGTAGAAGTTGCTCATATATCTTCCAAATGCTCTTTGTAGCCTTACAAGTTATCACAGCTTTGTCTAATATTTTTCAGTTAATGACATACAGAGTTTGTCATTATGGTTTATGCTCGCTCAGAGAAGCTCATTAGTTTGGATAATGCTTTCTTTAAAAACTACTGAAATTTCAGGTGGAGAAGCACAAAAAGTGCCTCATCTGTAGGCATATGGAGAATCTATAGGATAAAATTCAGAGGGCTAGATCTTTCTCTGGGGTAGATCGGTAGTAACATGAGAAGTTAGGGCTGTAGGGTTTATACTTTGACTGAAAAGACTGAGTGAATAATTAAGGCTGAGATCTTCATGGCTTGCTTTGAAAACCTGAGTCTTGTTCTTACTGAAACACCTGGTTCCTCCATGGTTAATCTTTACAAAAGCTATTTGCATGGATAGGCCACAGGGATCAAACTACCTGCTGGGTCCGAGATTAGTGACCTCCCAGGAACATGTGCAGTTACCTGGGAGATGAACCCAGGATTTCATTCCTGCCTGTCAGTACAACGCTGCAGTTATTTTTAAATAAACCATGGATTGAGAAGGAGAGCAAGGGAATAATTAAGGGATTATCTCTCTAGCTTTGAAGCATACAAAGAGGTAAAAGGCTGCTGAGATTAATTGCTAAAGTGAAACCAAAACGTTTAATCAATCAGACTTAAAAGCTGCTTATTGCAGGTGTAGGGCAGAGCACCAGACAGTATTACCCAACCCGGCCTGGCAAGCCCTGGCTAATTTGTCCTGTGCTAAGTCAGACTCCCTGTGACTCGCATACAAAAAGCAGCTGGGTTCTTTCAGAGCCACCAACAGACTGTTTATTATGAAACGGAAGTGCTAAGAGCAAAATAGCAGTTTAGGGTGTTGGGAGGCATTTTCCTTGCCTCCCTGTGTATCTATATTGACTCGCTTACAAGTGGCAGTAGTTCTCAACGTGTCGCACCTTCATTAGTGTGACTTACGCAGGATGAGGTGCACATTGCATGGCTTTAATTTTTGCTGAAGTTGGGTCAGATCTGTCCCTAGCTTTATACTTAAGCAAACATGCAGCTCTTCAATGTGAATAAATCATGATTTTTCCTTTGCCTATTATTTGTTTGATTTAAATTGTGCATCCTTAGGCTGTCCTGGTTAGGAGTACAGGTACTGTCCTCTGGGTAGACTGTATATGTGGTGGTAGTCCTGTTGCTGCAAACTTCACAGATGAGCGTGAAGAAAATGTCTTTGCTGCTAGAGCATGATGATTTATGAATGAAATTTGGCCTTCAGTGCTTTACATGTCCAAACTCCTCCAGGTACATGTGGCTGGGTGTGAAAATTCCAGCTCATATTGAGATGAAGGTGATTTGGGATGTTTTGCGCTACATCCCTATTCATCACCTTAACATCAGATTATGGTACCAGAAGGGGCTTCCGAAGCCTGTGTGCCAAGCACACATACTGGTTTGGAAAGGGTTCTGCACACAGATCCAATGAAGGTCCAGTTGGTGGCTTGGCCCTTCCCAGGTGGCTTTTAATCCATCCCGCGTAGATGTGGGAAAATAAGTTTATGGAGTTAAGTCTGGTTTTAACAAAGTCGGTATTCATAAAGCTTAGATATTCTTTCAGCTTTCAGGCAGTGCTCAAGTGAGATGCCCGAGCTGGTTGCCCTGAGTGCTGCTGTTTGTACATCAAACCCAGTTTGCTGTGGTCATAATGTTTATTGCAACCTGACAGCATAGCACAAGCTTGGTGCGAGAGGGTGAGCTTTGCTCAGGGAGATGTGGTTAAGGAGGTGTATGACAGCTTCCTAGAGCTGTGCTGGAGTTGCAAAACAAACTCACCAGTCCTGTAGCAGCCAGAAACAGTAACACCTATGGCAGATGCTCTGTGCAAGTAAAGGAGTTTACCAGAGACAGGAGGTGCTGGGAATTGTGGAAGGAGGATCATTGCTCAGAGCTCCGTAAGTCCTGACTCACATTAGACTCTTGTCTGCAAGAAATAGCTACTATGGTATGATGTGTGGCCTTCAAGGTGTAGGACCAGATTCTGTGCTTATATGTGGGTGCCTGCAGTGCCCACTGGACCTCGTGGCAAGGTGCTACAATGTGCTTCTAGTCCAGGAGACTGTGTTGTGTGGTGCTGAAATTCCTCTCTACAGTTTTTCCCCATCAGTTGCCACATCCCTTGGGGATCCCTTTGTCATCACAGGAAACTTCAGTAATTAGAAAAGCCCCACTGAGCTTATGTGTGGCTGACAGACATTATATATTGAGATGCTTTTATTGCTGTCAGTAATAAGTAATTACACAGATCATTTTCTTTTGGTGGCTCTGTGAGACTAATGCAGAAGAAAAAGCCTGGGGGCAGGATCTCACCCTCTTTGAAGGGATTGAACAGAGCCAGTACTTGTAGGAGAATTTTAGGAGACAGCATATCCAAGAGGAGCCAGCCCTCAAGCAGGAATCTCTACTCCATTACTGTCCTGTCTCCCCTTGGTGCAGAGCCCCAGAAAGCAGCTTCCCCAGAAGAGAGGTAATGTGTAGCTGAGGAGTAATTCTCAGTGGTTTTAGTCCCGCTGGAAGCCTCCAGCCTCATGCTAAAAGCCTGCTGAGGAACCATCTGGGTATTTGGCAGATTAATACCCTGTTTTCCCTTGACTTCCTACACAACTTACGGGAGGGCTGAAAGTTCCTGAGCAGAAGCTCTTCTAAAGCAAATCTTGGCTCATTTGCTGTGGATTATAGACCCAGGCTTAGAGCATCCTTTGTGGCTCTGCATACCTAGGGCAAGGAAAGGAGAGCTCAGCCTCAGCTTCTTGATTAATTACTTCAAGGGCAAGTAGAAGATGTGGGCAGCGCCTGCCTCCGGCTCTATAGTTGTCAATCAGATTGAATTTTCCTGCACTGGGTTAGTTGCTTTCCCCATAGAAACTGGATGAAATAGTGTCTCTCCTCCTGAGCCCTGGGGAGCAAAACTTGCTTTCTGCCAGATTCAGGTTATTTCTGTATGGGTGAAGAGAGAGCAGCTAGATATGTTTCTCCAGAGCTGGACACAATGTGGAGCTGAGCTTGCGTTGCCCTGGGTCAGGGAAGGGTCTGGCTGCCTTGTTCCACTGCCTCTGAGCTTTCCTGGGTAGCCCTGAACTTACGGGGGTCCCCAGCATCGCTTCCTGCCCATTGCTTCTTGCTAGATGTAGGGCAAAACATGATCAGCCTCATGTTACATAGCACTAGATTGCAGCAGGGAGAAACAAGCCCTGACCTGAGATGTTTCCTCCCTGACAATGTCCCTCTAGTCTCTCTGGTGGTCATCTCCAATCCTGAAGGCTGGCTGACAGCCACAGCCACATACTTAGGCTGGCTGTGCTAAGGGCATTGCTGCAGGGGATTTGGGTACTGAGCACCTGAGAGCTGTGGTGATGTGTGGTTTGGGTTGGTCAATATCTGCCTGTGTGGGCTACCTCTGCAATTGCTAGCCCTCTCGGTGTCTGGAGCAAGCATGATTAGCAGGTCTGTGGTCTTCCCCTTCCTCTGAGCCAGCCTGGATGCTTGTAGGATAGATGTGACTTCCTTGGGGTGGTGGAAGAAAGAAAAAAAACCCAAAACAACGACAAAAAAACAAACAGAAAAAGACAAAACACAAAACCAAACCAAAAAACTTCCTGGGTAGATCTTAACTGAATGGGAGTCATTGTGCTTAATGTTGCGGCAATGCTCAGGGTTACAGGGGGATGTCAGAAGTGGAATCTAGGTCTTTGCCCTACACAGATGCTCTGACCCACTGTCCTGAGGTGTCTCTGCCCTTCTGGGTCTGACCATAGACAGCTCTTCTGTGCTGCAGCAGCCTTTGGAGCCATGAGTGATAACTGCCAGCTTGAAGAAAACACTGATGTTTCATCTCA